AAATAAATGGACTCCCTTATATATATATATACCTGCTTGAAATTGATAACCAAGTTCTAAACTGCCTTAGTTTAGTTTTCGGGGGTGAGACTGGGTTATTGTTATTTTTTAATTTTTAGATTCCTTTGTTGATTGGTGGATGCGGACAGGGTTTTTTTTTTTTTTTTTACCTATTTTAATCCATTCTTTAATATTCTTAATTCCATTCCATTAATTTATATTTGTGCTTTTTTAAAATTATATAAGCAGTTTCCTTTCCTAAGTTCAAATAATTGCCTTACGTAATGATACCTAGACTAAAAAGGATTTTATAACATCTATATGAAAAAACACATAAATATTAGATCTTTCAATTCAATCGGGTTAGGCCTTCCCTCTTCAATTACATAATCTAGAGTCATACCGGAATTCGATTTTCCGAACTGCCTGACTGGTTAAGTAATAGACTCTTCCGGTAAACAACCCATCTGAACCACGTGGAGAAATCGGCATTGCCCATAGACCTGCGCTCCATCATCTGCTATATACATCGTCCCTTAGTCATTACCATCCGACTTCTTAAGCAACTCAACTCCCTCTGCTATTTTAACATCCACAGAAATCCGTTTCCTGACCATGATGCTGACCAACTCCCGTTTCATCAACTGCAACATTGCAATCAATATGGCGGCGGAGAAGTGACCTAGGGCCTTTTACACGTGTTCGTTTTTCCGACAACTTAAATCTAAGTCACATATATAATTAAAGTCAACAAGATTGCTTTGATCAAATTTAAAATTCTTTTGTTGTTTTAAGAAATGAATTTAATTTTTGAAGATTCATGAGGTTATGAACTACGACGCTTCACGCCGGCATATTTCATGAAGCGCGTTAGCTTCGCCCGTTATGCAAATTATTCCATGTTTCCCACTAGTGTTGATGTCCTGGCATACTCTCCTAACTAGACAGTGATTCCTTACATAATAAGAATGCATATAAAACATTTTTAAAATGCAATATGACTGACATCGTTGTGAACAACAATTTAAAAGATCTATTTTTTTAAAAAGGTTGTGTAATGAACTATTTTAATTTAAGAAATGGAAGAGGAAAAAGTCCCAAGGCGGTTGGGTTTAGCGATTCATTGATATTCAGTTGTTTTTACCATATATTACAATGAATTGAAGTTATATTTTAAAAAGTAAAGTAACATTGAAATGCATAAGGTGACAAATCATTAAATATATACGTACAAACAGAATGCGAATTATTACGGACAATTTAAAACTTTTAAATTGAGCAAGACAAACCAGACTTGTTAAGCCCGAATACTGTCTGCCCTTAATTTCTCTACATATTTAACGTTATACTTTATTTTAACATAATTATTTATAAATTTAAGGTAAAAAAAATATATCATCTTAATTAATCTATATGATTTATAAAATAACTATTCGACATGAGTCAGATAAGTATGCTTTTGAATTATAGCCTTTTAAATTCCTATCAAGTCTTACCATCTAAGTTAGGGCAATCGATTGGGTCATTAGTTACAATGTTACAATAAAAAAAAATACTGTAAACATGTATGTATGAGGGCATGACTGATGCATGGGTAACCAGGGGAGAACACCAAACCAAAAGTGCATGCTTTTTATTCTGATATATAAAAGGATCGGAGAGAAGGTGATCGTTCATTCGGATTAGACAAAAAGGATTGAAACTAAACGGTAATTAATTTATCTAACATGTTTTATATAAATTACTGTGTAGTTTGGCACAAAGAATAAAATTTATACTAAGCATAAAATTTTTACCAAAATCAACAACGTAACAACTTTATGTACAACCATTCCCCACGATAAATTAAAGTCCAGGCTCTCTTACATCATTGCCAGCTACCTTTTCAATAGAAATTGAACTCATAAATTTACTTACCTTGTAATTGGTCATTTGCACATGTAGTTACTTTTGTTAAAAAAGCATTCTAGCTGATTGTACACAAAAGAACTCTGAAGTTTATATTTAAAAGACGCATGAGTTTCTGATATTCGATATCTGTGTTGTTTTTTTAAGACCAGGTCTTCCAACAATCTATTGGAATTCCTCTGGGTACCAATTGTGCCCCGTTATTAGCAGACCTATTTTTTGTTTATTTGAAGCTGAATCTGTTCAAAATCTTTTACGCGAAAAGAAGAAAATACATTCTGTGGCTTTCAACTCGACATTTAGATACATATTGAATATGATAGATATCATATTTGGATCTTTTAATAGGAATAGACGTTAATGGTAATATAACTACAAAGCTTTATGGTAATCGTGATGACTTTAACTTTTAAATCTTCAACTTTCCTTCTCATGTGAAACTTAGTTACTATCTGTTTTGGTTGTTGAGGTAACAACCGGAAATATTTGGAAATTTGAGATATTTAGGTATACTTCTAATCTTAGTTAAGAATTTATAATTATATAAGAAAATTATACAGTCAACTAATTACCACTTCTGCTGTAAAGTATTCTCTATTGAGAAGTTGATGGCTCGCTTAAATACTCTCGTTGAGGGGGAGTATTTAAAACGATGCCGATAAACGCTTTCTCAATTTCTACATTAAGAAGGGAAGATGAGAAGAGAAACATTAAATCAATTAAGTCCCCATGTTCATCATTAAGTTATGTCGTTAGGTTACATGTACTTTATCAAACTATCCAATGGCATACGAAAAACAAAGTCAGCTGCAGACTCTGCATAATCTTTCATTTTCTAATTCCAAGGAAAGCATGTATATAAAATCAAAGTATTTATTGGAATGAATTTTGTTGATTGATGAAACATCCTCTAGATATATCTAAATGTTGAATTGAAACCCACTGCAAGAAGCAGAAAGTAATCGCGCAAATATCAGATGGATTACTAGTTGTTGCCGTCAACAGATCAAAAGGATAAGATTTCGTCATCTTGTTCTTTGTCTGCAGCATCTGAAAGTCCGAGGTATTGATAGCAATGTTTTTATACATTTGAACCAATTTTTGGTTCTGTTACGAAAGTGTTGTTATGCTTTGAAAGTAATGCTGACATCATATATTTTCAGCGTCTCATTCACAGGAATACCTAAGATGAAATAGGAACAGAGTTCTTTAACTAGCTTTCCTACAAATTCGTAGCATTGAACATTTTTCAAAGCTCAGCACCACTTGTATACATTATACACTGGGCGCTAAGTGCATATAAGAAGAAGGTACAGTTTCAATACAAATAATGCCCTATATCTTTCTAAAATATGAAAGTGCCCTAAAAAATTAAAATTCATTCTTTCTGAATCTTAGGAATTCTCTGCAGTAAGAATACACAAATGGTTTTTCTCATATGACTTTCTAAATGCCAATTGTGACGTCATTAACTTGTGCATTTTCCCGTATTTTCTTAAAAAGTTGCAGAAGACCTCAATTTTCAGTGGAATTTTCTTTCAGAAAACATACTCTGCCACCGTCGCCCGGAAAGATTTTGAGATATGTGATTTTTCGTAGCTGTTTGCACAATATATGCAAAAATTAAGGCGGGTGACGGTGGCAGACACTATTTTCTAATGGAAAATTAGCAGAAAAACGAGTCATTTTGAAGCTTTCCTGCATTTAACTTAAAAATGTACCAAATTAATGACGTCATATTTAAAAAAAGGCTCTTCTTCATGCCATATTTCTTAATGATTTATCATATTCATCTACTCAACTATTGATAAAGCCAATTTTATGACTTTTTAAGAACACTAATTTTTTAGGGCACAATAAAGCTCAAACCGTACCGTCTTCTTTGTTCGTAACTCTGCATTCCCGTAAAATAATGGAGCGCTAAAATGAAACCGTGGCATCAAAATGAATTTAAAATAATTATGCTGTATAAATGAGTAATTAACATAACATTAGTGTTGTAAAAGGATGTGAAAAGGATTCAATAGATATTAAACAAATATAGCAAAGCTTGGCAAAATTGGACAAGGAAGAGACTTCAATTTGGCAAATCTATAAAGGAATAAGACCCAGCAGACATATCATATATCATATATCTGTCATATCTCTCTTATCAGAGTAACAATAAACCTTAAATTAAATCTGTTTGCATTGAATTTCATTAACCTAAGTCATATAAAGATATAATTTTTGGAAGATATGAATAAATAAAATGAAGTTTTTAAAATTTATTTTCAGTCACATTTCTTAAGCCATACATTACTCAGTATGGCAACTCCCACATCCAGGGCACAGGAGCTCATTACCTGCGACTTTTGTCGTACGCCTGCTCGGCACTTCTGTAATAGCTGTCAAGTGAGACTATGCGTGAACTGCGTCAGTAAACATGTAGACAACCCCAGGCCTCAGCGACACGACATTGTTCATTTCACCAATAGAAAGATACAGCCAGTGTTTCCCGAGTGCAAATGCCATCCAAATCAGAGCTGTGATGCTCACTGCCAACAATGTAATGTCAATGTTTGTCTGAAGTGTATACTTAGTTCCCATAATGGGCACAAGATAAAAGAAATGCTTACAATTTTCAATGAAAAGAGCAGGGAAATCGAAAAAGAAAACATAGAAATTGAATCAGCTATTATCCCCAAGTACAACAAGAAATTAAAAGATACAGAGAGTGAAATCTCTAAAGCAAAATTCAAATTTGAAGAACTGGAAAAAATAAAAGAGAAGCACAGAAAACAATGGCATCAAGAAGTAGACAGTATTTTCAACAAGTTGGGTTCTTTAATGATGTCTATGAAAGAAGATTTTCTCACTACTCTAAAATCTCACCAATCCAAGTTAGAAAATCTTATTTCAGATATGATTCAAACACTTGCTCAAAACAAGGATATCCTAAAGACTAACAAAGTGTCTGAAGTCAGTGACTACAAATCCAAACTGAAGGAATACAGAGACATACCTACTGATATCGATGTCAAAACTCCTTCAATGTATACAAGAACAGACCAAGGAAAAGAGCTTGGGATAGAACTAGGAGAATATCAGGCTACACTTACACAATCAGAGATATCCAGTCTGACAGATGAAGTCTCGTTTCTGTCTATGAGAGAGTTATTAGACAAAGCCAGAGTGATTGCCACAATTCCTACTGCAGTTGTTCCTCTATGGAGAGTTGCCTGTGGGAAGACAGATGATGCCTGGGTTAGTGGTGCTGATAAATTGATAATACGTATTGACATGCACGGGTCTCGTCAGGAATCCGTCTACACCAGGTGTCTATACTGTCCTGGTGGCATTTCTCTAACCAAACAGGGAGAACTGATATACAGTGATCATGGAAATAAATCTGTGAATATTGTCAGAGGTGGAAGGATAGAAATCTTATTCACTCCACCAGATGACTGGATACCATGGGGCGTATGCTGCACCAGGTCTGGGGACATCCTTGTCAACGTGTATAGAAACAGTAAAAACAAAATTATATGTTACGACGGGATAACGATGAACACTATGAAAGAAATAGCCGAAGATGAACAAGGAAATCAAATCTTTAAAAACGGACGTTTTTCACTCTTTTTGGTAGAAAATGTCAATGGAGACATCTGTGTGTCTGATCCAAATGCTAAGATCCTGCTTGTTTTGGACAAGAGAGGAAGAGTCAAGTTCCGATATGATGGTACCCCAGCAGCCAGGCAAAAAAAGTTATTTAATCCAACTCAGATAGCAACAGACTCTATGAGGCAGATCATTGTGATAGATTTTAACAATTCCTGTCTGCATATTCTTGATCAAAATGGTCAATTTCTGAGGTGTGTTGACAATTGCGGACTGTGTAAGCCTATTGGATTGAGTGTGGACATTGAGGGGAGGTTGTGGGTAGGGTTACACGATACAGGAGAGGTGAAGATCATCCAGTACATGATATAAACATAAAAAAGAATGTTTTTAACACTAGAGAATGACAGAATATCTATTATACCTGTAATATTTTCTTATTTTAAATTTTCATCCTATAGTGTGCAAAAGCTATTTCCATTTGCACGTACTAAAGTAAATGAATGATTTTGAGAGAAAGCTATTTTATGATATATATTTATTATTGATAACAAGATCAATATGAAATATTTGACAAAAGTAATTTGATGTTACAGATTATGTGTTTTTATGATCATCAAAGATGTTTGTGATTATATTGTTCAAACTGAGCAACTGGTATATTTTTAAGAGATGATATATTTAAATATCAATTTATTAAATTACAGATCACAATTCACAGACATTGTGAATCAAACAATTTATTGGGAAAGCCTATTCTCACAGAATGATTAGATTAATATGTTGATATCTTGGGTATTTTTTATTACTATATTTGGGAGAAATATGTATATATTTATATATTCTCGATTTGATAATCTACGTATTACTTTCATTGAAAAGTAATGACATTGTGTGTAATATTTACATTCGATTTAATGTTGTTTTATGATATTTACAGGGCTATCGATATATATATATATATATACATGTATGTCACTCCACTGTGAAATAAATATTTGAATAACCCTTGCAGGAGTGTTCCTTTCCAATACCCCTGTTACACGTCTAATTTTTAGTAGATATAGTCCAGTTATTGGACCAGTTTCGAATAAAAATTTGAAGATTTTGCAAAAGATAGAAAATAATTTTTAAAATCCATTAGTAAATTAAAGAGTGTAACTGTTGGAGGACAAAATAATGGTGATTAAAAATTCACATTGGTAGTCAAAGTAGTCCTGAGCGTCCTGGAAGGACACACCAGTCAAGAACTGGATTGTGTCTATCTCTGCTTTCATTTTATACAGGTTGGGAACCAGCGCCTGTGAGCCGCTCTGGTCAGGGAAGGTCCTCAGATTTAATAGGAATTGGACATTGAAATATCAAGAAATTATTTAATAAAATAAAAAGCGGACGTGAAACGTTCCGACCCAACTCAAGGATTATAAGAGCTATTCCACTTGGTGTGTCCTCTCACTGAAATAGCCAAGATCCCGGTTTATATGAACAAACTCATGATCGGCCCAATGTCATTCGGGTCTCTGCCTCCTCAAGCTTTGATGGGTAAGGTTTAACAAAAAGGTATTATAGGCTGGAGTCCAGAATGAGATTGATTTGGTTATGATAAGTGGGGAGGATCCAATTTTGTTAAAAATTTACCGTCGGAAAATTTACCAATGCCAAGGACTAAAACACCATTGCAGCGTTTGAAATGACCGGTTGCTAGTTTGCCATTGCTTCCCAGAAAAAAAATTGTACAGTCGGTGTAACGACGAAAAGTGACCGCGGCGTACATGTAGAATATATACCGAGGGTCATTTTTCTACGTAGAAATTTGACCCCCTGCAGTGGCGTAGCTAGCAAATTATTAACTGTATTCAGAAAGGCAAGGGGTCTGGGGCCGCCTTTAGGCCCCCAGGGGGCGAAGCCCCCGGAAGCTCACGCATTTTAAGGGTTTTATACATTAGAAAACTACCTTAAAATAGATAATTTTTTTTACAATTATCGTAGTTCTAATATACTAAATATTAACAAAAACTTGCCGAGTTTTGACAATATTTACAACTCCCCAAATTTCCTTTTTTCTAAAAGCATTTCTTGTTTTCATGAAATAAGTCAATAAAATTTCAACAGTGAAAATCTTGTAATATGTGTGGGGCTCCGAACTCAAAAAACCTTGACTTTGTGAGGATGCTATAACTCATATCTTCACAATAATTTTTCACAAGAACATTTCGTTTTCTCGTAAAGTTGGCTAATTTTTCGAACTTTTTTCTCCTTATTTGTAGGAACTTTTTAATTATAGTACAAAAAAGCTATTTTGAAATTTACTGACGAAAGAGAATTTATTATGGACTTCAGGGAAACCTTGGAAAAAATTTTTGACAAAAAATTCAATGTTGTAGTAATTGCTATAAAATCTATTTCTCAATTAACCCTGTTTTTTGAATGATAAGCGCGAAATGAATTCTATATACAGGTATATCAACACAAAAAACTTGAATATTCTCAATTTGTTACATGTGGTACAAATCAATTGTTTTGATATAACATGTAAAGTACATATACAACGCAGGTGCATTTGGGAATTAGTAAATAACATACATGTGGTTTGGATTATTATTTGCTTTTGCTTGAATTGACACAATTAAGTAATTCGTCCTTTAAAATTCTTTAAAAAAAAACTATGTACATGTATACTCTGTATCAAAGATCTTAGATAAAAGCTGAATACATGTATATTCTTTTAATCTATTTAGCAGGTACTATAGTAATATTGGATTAAAAATATCTTTTGATATTACTTATTTTATTTTAATCTTTTATTGAACTTACGACAATTTTTTCTTAATTTTTTTTTTGGTGAAAAATCTATGTATTCATTTGCGTTTTTGCGTAAAGGGCGCTACGCCACTGCCCTGGTCAATATTCTACGTAGAAAAATAGCCCTTTTTTTAAATTATGGCCTTGGTGTCGTTTTTCTCCGTGTGCATTGTAGAAAAATGACCCTATAGAATAATGACCCCTTGTCATGAAAGAATTGTATTTGCATTTGTATATGCAAAGTAAGTGTCTAAAAATCTCAGAAGGAAGGGGAAAGTTACAGCAACCATTTGCCAGGTGTCTAAGTGTTAAAAAAGGAAGTTTTTTTTATGAATTTATAAGAACAATATCTTAACTATTATTCACTCAAATGTACATTTTTGCCCGTTTGGGGGGATTTTTTATATACCATTATAAGAAAGTTCTCGATATATATGGTATTTCCCATATATATATATATATATATATATATATATATATATATATATATATATATATATATATATATATATATATATATATATATATATATATATATATATATATATATATATGAAAATTATTTTAGATAAATAAAAACACAGAGAACGAGTAAAACATAAGCGCTTTCATTTCTTCTTCATGACTTAGACGTGTGCGGAAATAGAACTTTTACTGTCTTTCCATTTTATAAACTGCACAACTCTAACACAATCGAAAGACGTGATAGAGAAAGACATTTTATAAGGACTTTCAAACCTAAATTAAATAGTTTAATGTAAAAGAATTGTTTCTTTACATGTAAATTATGTTATTGAGTCACATTTACTGCTTTGTTATTGTATTCTTTGTTAATGCATTGGGAAAAATATGACGTCAATCAAAGACTTGTTAACGTTAAGTTATTATGACGTCATAATAGACGTTACCATGAGTATTGTAAAACATCACGAAGAAGAAATATTTACATTTGCAAATGTTTTCCTTTATATAACACTACTGAAAGCAAGCGTTTTTATAACTGTGTAAATACAGGTATGGGGTCAAGAGGTCATAGATATGCGTTTGGATAAATGTTCGACGTAATTTCTCTGTGACGTCATAAAGGGTCGACGCGCGTTTAGTGGATTACATACATGCCGTTGGGTTTGAAAAATTAACGCATTTCACACGTTAAAAGTAACAATCAGGCAAATATAAAGTATGAATAAGTCACAAATGTAAATATAAGTAATAAGGTCTCATTTTTTGAGTTTTATTGAGATGTAAAACGGGTTGGCACATGATCAAATCTTCCATAAAGCCCTTCGGGCTTTATGGGATTTGATCACGTGACCAACCCCTTTTACATCTCAATAAAACTCAAAAAATGATACCTTATTTCTTAAATGAAAGCGCTTATGTTTTACTCGTTCTCTGTGTTTTTATTTATTTAAAATAATTTTCATATTTATCACCGACCACTGTGATTTTTCTTGGATTTATCTATATATATATATATATATATATATATATATATATATATATATATATATATATATATATATATATATATATATATATATATATAGGGGAATTGGATTTACATACATATGCATGTATTAGTAGTTAATTTACGTTGCTTTCCTTGCTTCTATGCAATGTTTTCATGCTGCCGTATCGATAGATCCGAAGCGAATATTGTTTTTGTTCTGTCTGTTTGCCTGTTTTTCTGTCTGTCTGTTGTCAACTTTAACATTCACTATAACTTTTGGATCGTGAGAGATAGAGACTTCATGTTTGGTATTCGTACCCCACTTAATTAAGCTCTCTCAAATGACACCAAGGCCAATGGCCTTGTGACCTTGACTGTGACCTATATGCTAAAAATAACTTTTTTGAACTTTCGTCATAATTTTTTAACCATGAGAAATAAAGCCTTCGTGTTTGGTATGCATAGTCCACTAATTAAGCTCTTTCAAAGACCTTGTGGCCTTGGCTGTGACATATTTGCTAAAAATAGCCTTTTCGAACTTTGTTGCCGCCGGGTGCATAGTGTTTCACAAACAAATCTTGTTGGATTTGTAAAAAAAATTCAAAAATTGTTTAAATTATAGGATTTTATTAAAATCATCAGCTTAAAAACTGTTCAACTTTATACACAACCTTTCTCCACGATAAATTATAGTCCAGTTATAGTTTTGATATCATTGACAGCTTGTTTTTCCAATAAAAATGGAACTCGTAAATTTACTTACCTGGTCATTTGCAAAATATTTTGTTAAAACACATTTTGATTGCACAAACAAGTACTCTGAAGATGTCAACTTCAAAACAAAATGCAAAAAGATGCTTGAGTTTCTGATTGACAATATCTATGTTGTTTTGGGAGACCAGGCCTTCCAACAATCTATTTGAATTCCCACGGGTACCAATTGCGATCCGTTATTAGCAACATATTTTTGCCTTCATATGAAGCAGAATTTGTGCAAAATCTTAGGCGTGAAAAGAAGAAAACACTAGCTGTGGCCTTCAACGCGACATTTAGATATATCGACGACGTATTTCAATTAACAATGGTAATTTCCATTCCTATGTCGATACAATATATC